AAGGAAGGAAGGAAGGGTGGGGGCCTCTTTCTCCGGCTCTCCTGCCCTAACTGCGTGTGCGGCGGCGGCGGCGGCGGGAGCGGGAGCTGCTAGCCATGGCAGCAGCGAGCAACCAGGATGCTGGCGTTGTGTGCGCGGTGTGTGTGTGTGTGTGTGTGTGTAAGAGAGTATATTAGTTGTACAGTAACTGGATGGAGGAAAGGGACAGAGAGAGGGAAGGAGGGAGGGTGGTGTGTGTGTATATGTGTGTGTGTATGCTGGAGTAGGAGGCGGGAGCGAGGTGGGGATATGTCTGTCTGGCTCTCACACTCGCTCTCCTCCGCGCCTGACCCGGTAGTGAAGACCGAGAGAGCGAGAGAGGCGAAGCCTGAGCAGCAGCAGCAGCAGCAGCAGGAGGGAAGAGAGAAGGCGGAGAGCAGCCAGCGGTGGGTGGGGAGGAAGGAGGAAAGAAAGACCGAGACAGGCACCGAGAGCGCCGCCAGCCTAAGCCGTCTCCCCCCTCCCCTCAGTCCCACCAGCCCCTCAGGCTTTGGCGCGCCGAGCCCTCCCCTCCCCCGCGCGCCCTCCAGAGACTGGCTTCCATCCGCCCGGGCCGCAGAGGCGCTCGCGCAACGGAAGGGCCGGCGCCGCAGCTGATGCGGCAGCAAAAGCCGCCGCCGCCGCCGCCGCCTTGACAGCAACCAGGGGAATGCCGAGAGCGTGTGCAGCAGGAGAGGGGCAGGGACAAAACGACGCCCAGTTGGGTCCCGGGGCCGGCCTGAAGGCTTGGGAAGAAGGAGATGTCAACGGCAGATCAGGCATTTGCTTTCTGAAGGTCTTGCTAAACCAAGTCCAGGCGGGAATCACTCCTGGGTTTGAAAGCGTGTTCGTAACTTCTGAATCCTCCATAGCTGTCATCAACCCGCGTTATGCGTGTTGCTGCCAGTTTAATTGACGCTGCCTGTAGTCTTCCGGCCATAGACGGCTAATGGGGAAGGCGGGGACACTTTGCCCTGCTGCTAGGCTTGCAGTGCTTCCAGACAAGGCTTGTCCTGTATAGTTGCGATTGTGCTTTTATTGTGCAATTGCCCTGCCTTGTTTTTGGATTTTGCAGGTATTCCAGACAATGTCAAATTCCACTTGTCATCTCTCTGTTTTCCTGCCTCTTCTTCTCTTACAGTATTTTTCTGACATATCAAATCTGTTAGAAGGGAAATGAGGGAGCAGCTGCATAACAACTAGTCCTCTTGATTACTGATACTATTTATTAGTTACATGTATCCTACCTATCTTCAATTGAGTTCAAGATAGCATACCTGGTTGCATTCCTCCACACTAGATCCTTCCCACCAACCTTACAAGGCAGATCAAACTAAGAAAGACTAGCACAAAAAGTCACCCACTGGTTCAGACCGGGATCTCCCATCAGTCTAGCACCCTCACCACCTACACCTCACTGGCCCCACAAATCCTCTAGATGCAATCTTGGTTGCAGTCCCATGCAACGTGTAACTCAGTTTTCAGTATTACCTGCCTTATTTAACAAACTTTCTAAGTTTGTGTTAAATAAGCATTTATTTTCCTAAATACAATAGCACAAGCCTCACTAAAAATAACCGGCTACAGCAGAGAGACAGATGGACCATTCCAGCATCTCTCCTAGAACATAAACCCCATTGGTCTTCGCTTATCTCTGAGCTGTTTCTATTCAAAATGGTTGCTGAAAGAACTTTATAACTTTTTTTAAAAAATCAATGTCTGTGTTTCCATGTTTCCTCTTTCTTTTCTCAACTCTTTTTTTTTTTTTTTTAGGGCAGAGACAATCTTGTTCATTAGTGACTTTGTGGGAGGCTTTTTATCTGAAGGAGCAGCTCAAGATTTCTTGGAAAATAAGTACTGCTTCCGAATATCCCTTGTCTTTAAGGCAAGGATAAGGAACCTGTGATGTTTTTGGAAACTTTCTGTTATCCATAATTACTGGCCATTTCTCACTTCCACTCAAACAATCTCAGGACAACAAACATAGATCTTTCTTCTCCATATTTAATTCCCACGTATTATGTGAGATAGGTTAAGGTTAAGGTTCCCCTTGACAAATTGTCCAGTCGTGTCCGACTCTAGGGGGTGGCGCTCATCCCTGTTTCCAAGCCAAAGAGCCAGTGTTTGTCTGTAGACAGTTTCTGTGGTCATGTGGCCAGCGTCACTAGACACGGAACACCGTTACCTTCCCACCGAGGTGGAACCTATTTATCTACTCACATTTTACATGCTTTCGAACTGCTAGGTTGGCAGAAGCTGGGACAAGTGACGGGAGCTCACTCCGTTGCGTGGATTTGATATTACGACTGCTGGTCTTCTGACCTTGCAGCACAGAGGCTTCTGTGGTTTAACCCGCAGTGCCACCACGTCTACGTAGATTAGGATGATAGAAAATATGAATGGCAGAATGTAAGTGAATATTATGTGTAAACAAAAAATCCCAGTGAGTTCAGATTTGAATCTGGATGCAGTACTTGGGTTGGACTTTGGCATCTTTTGACCATAACACCTCCCTTCACTTTTGGGGGGTGAGATCTCCCTTTTTGCCCACAAAGCACCTCCTAATCCTAGCGATAATGACCACTGCTCCTTCCTATGCTGAACCAATACCCTACTTTCTATCCTTATCGCTATAGCCCTGGTTATTCCACTCCATGTACTTGGACCAGAATGGTTGAGTCTCTTCCCATTGCTTTTGCACGGAGGGTGTTGCCTCTGTTTCCCAAGACTCCTAAGAGTAGCTACTATAAAACATCTGGCCTGGCAGTAGCATACGTGAAAACAGTTCAGGGATTTTAGTAGACCAGAAGGTAAACAGGACTCAGAAGTGTGATGCAGTGGCAAAAAGACAGAAGAGGGAGAAAAGCTAATGTTGAATCAACTGAAGTACAGTATCCAGACCAACAGAGGTATTGGTGCCCTTCTGGAGACCAATTCTGGGTACTACAGTTTAGGAACTAGATTTGGTGGACAGAGTGCCTGAAGAACTATGGATGAAGGCTTGTAACATTGTACACAAGGGAGCAACAAAAACCACCTCAAAGAAAAGGAAATGCAAGAAAGCAGAATGGCTGCCCAATGAGGCCTTACAAATAGCAAAGAAGGGAAGGGAAACAAAATGCAAGGGAGATAGGAAATGTTACAGAAAATTGAATGCAGAATTCCAAAGAATAACAAGGAGAGACAAGAGGGACTTCTTAAATGAACAGTGCAAAGAAATAGAGGAAAATAATAGAAAGGGAAAACCAGAGATCTGTTCAAGAAAATTTGAGATATTAAAGGAACATTTTGTGAAAAGATGGACATGATAAAGGACAAAAATGGGAGGGACCCCACAGAAGCAGAAGACATCAAGAAGAGATGGCAAGAATACACAAAGGAATTATACCAGAAAGATCAGGATATCCTGAACAACCCAGATATTGTGGCTGCTGACCTTGAGCCAGACAGCCTGGAGAGTGAAGTCAAGTGGGCCTTAGAAAGCATGGCTAACAACAAGGCCAGTGGAGGTGATAGCATTCCAGTTAAACTATTTAAAATCTTAAAAGATGATGCTGTTAGGGTGCTACACTCAACAGGCCAGCAAGTTTGGAAAACTCAGCAGTGGCCAGAGGATTGGAAACGATCAGTCTACATCCCAATCCCAAAGAAGGGCAGTGCCAAAGAATGCTCCAATTACCGTACAATTGCACACATTTCACACAGTAGCGAGGTTATGCTCAAAATCCTATGA